ACAGCCTGGACAGCCTAGCAAGACCCCACCTCACTCATTCATTCATAAATAAATAATTTTTAAAGGGTGGTATTCCTTCATAAATAAATAATTTTTAAAGGGTGGTATTCCTAAAAACAATTACTAATGAATATCAAGTTGCTGCAGTAACCAATATCATGTCACCTATCTCTAAGTATGATTTCTCTAAAAAAGAGAGACAAGTAGGAAGGCTGAGGCAGAAGGATCGCCTAAGCCCAGTAGGTTGATGCTGTAGTGGCCGTGAGCGTAGACTGGCCAACAAAAGTGAGACTCCAACTCAAAAAAAAAAAAAAAAGAAAGAAATGGTGTGATAATAGCCACCACCTACTGAACATGCTTTTACCATGTGCCAGCATTGTGTCAGATAAAAATAACTGGCCAGGCTCAGTGGCTCAAGCCTGTGATCCCAGCACTTTGGGAGGCCGAGGCAAGAGGATTGCCTGAGCCCAGGGGCTCGAGACCAGCCTGGACAACTTGGTGAGACCTTGTCTCTACAATAAATCAAAAAATCAGCCAGGTATGGTAGCGTTAAAATTAAAAAGAAAAGCTTGGACCACAGTACCTACTGAGGTCCTCAGATACAAGTTTATTAATCAGACTATTATCATGTGTATATATAATCTGAATAAACTATAAAATTACTGTTATTTAATTACAATTTGTATATGCTACAAAATCCAAGATTCAGAGTGTCAAAAAAAAGTCACCCAGCCAGATATGGTGGCTCACATCGGTAACCCTAGCACTCGGAAAGGCCAAGGCGAGAGGACTGCTTGAGCCTAGGAGTTTGAGACCAACTTAGGCAACATAGCAAGACCTCATCTCCACAAAATTCAAAAAATTAGCCGAGCATGGTAGTACAGGCCTGTAGATCCAGCTACTTGGGAGGTTGAGGCAGAAAGACTGCCCGAGCCCAAAAGGTCTAGGCTGCAGTGACAGGGACCCCCAACTCAAAGAAAAAAAAGTCAAGGCTATAGTGACAGAGATCCCCAACTCAAAAAAACAAAAACAAAAAACTCACAGTGAACTACATATAGGTAGCCTTGCATATTTCTTTTGTATTAATATTATTTTAAATTTCTTTTATAAATAAATTGGTAAAGAATTCCCTAAAATTCCATATCTCATTTCAAAGCAGGGGTAGCCAATTTCATGAATAATGTACTCATTCAGTCATTACTAGCGAACAAATCCGCTTACAATATAAAAGTTATTTTTATTTCCACAACTCTACTGTGACTTATTCTAGAGTTAGACAACTGAATTCCAACTGCTTTATAAACAAACACAAAACCATAATCATTTCAACAATTTGAAAGACTGAGGAGACAAAAAACACAGACTGTCACATCTTATTGACTACAACTGGAAAACAATACACATTATTAAATTTAAAAGTGAAATCCGGCCGGGCTTGGTGGCTCAGCCAATAATCCCGTGCTTTGAGAGGCCGAGGTGAGTGGACTGCCTGAGCCCGTGGGTTCGAGACCCGCCAGGGCGACTTGGTGAGACCTCATCTCCACAATAAATCAAAAAATGAGCCGGGTGTGGTAGCGCGCGCCTGTAGTTCCGGCTACTTGGAAGGCTGAGGTGGAAGGATCACCAGAGCCCAGCAGGTCGAGGCTGCAGTGGTCGGGAGCATGCCACTGCACTCCAGTCTGGGCGGTGGAGTGAGACTCCAACTCAAAAAAAAAAAAAAAAAAGTGAAATCCATGGTCTTAAGGCACTCTTATCCCCTTGTTCTGGTGCTCTCTAGCTTAAGCCTCTCTTCCTCTCTCCTGCCCCTGTTATTTCCTCCCTCAAGCCATCAGCACCAAAAGCAAGGAACACCATCGAAGAAAAACAACATATCTGACTCTAAATTGTTAGTTTTATTGGCATGATATGGTTATGAACAAAACATTAACTGTATCAATATAAAACTGAAATGTACCATAACTAGGAATAAAATGAAATTGATGGAAATGAAGCAACACAGCCAGTTAGAATCTTGGCTGTCTCCATTGTAAGAGTAAACCATCATCAGTATAAAAAGGAGCAGGACACGTTCGTTAATATAAATACCAAACACAAATGTATAGCAAATACATAAACCCAATATTTTTGAATTTTAAAAAAATCAAACCAAAAATTGTACCATTGAAGGCAAATCTAAATAATTAAAATGTAACCCCAGCCGGGTGTGGTGGTTCACGCCTGTAATCCCAGCATTTTGGGAGGCCGAGGCGAGAGGACTGCCTGAGCTCAGGAGTTCGAGACCAGCCTGAGCAACATGATGAGCCCTCATCTCTTCAATAAATCAAAAAATTAGCCGGGCGTGGTGGCACATGCCTGTAGTTCCAACGACTTGAAAGGCTGAGGCAGAAGGATCACCCAAACCCAGCAGGTCGAGACTGCAGCAGCTGTGAGCGTGCCACTGCACTCCAGCCACTGCACTCCAGCCTGGGTGACAGAGACTCCTACTCAAAAAAAAAAAAAAAAATTAACCCCAACAAAAATCTCTGTAAATTTCCATCAAAGACTCCTCCCCTAAAAAAAATAATGTTTAAAACATTGAGGTCAATTCACAACCTGGAAACTACCTTATTATAAACTGTTTTTCATATAATTTTAGGTAATTAGAATAAAATAGGATATTTCCCCAAAATGTAGTAATTAATTCGTACGTAAAGAACAGCTGATGTACTCCAATACATAAATGAAGCAACTGATAAATATTTACTACTGGTACATACAGAGTTCGCCCACAGTTTTGCATATGAGAAAGAATAGTAAACGACATTCTTAACCTAAATTCTCAAACTTAAAGACAGTAAATAATACTACTCATGATACATCTCGTAACAGCTTTTCCATTCTTAACTTTATTTTCTTACTCTGCCCAAACTTCTGTGGTTGATAACCCCCACTTTCAAAAACTCACACTCAGACTTAAAAATACCTGAGACTTAACAGATACTGCTAGCCCCAACGTATACAAAAGAATGCCTTAAAAATTCTATTATTTTCTATTTCTATTTCTAAACAGCAATAATTTACTTAAACCATACATTTTTGTTATGCCATATATATCAACTTCCCAAAAAATAAGATGTGAAAGGTACTACTGAAACTTAGTAGTACCTTTCACAGCTTACTTTAAATTGTGAAAATTCCTGGATTGAAATTATTTAAAATATATTAACAAAAACAAAACGTATCCAGCCAAATACTTATTTGACTTTTGGCTTATTTGGTTTATATAAATACATATAAAAACAAAGTATTTTTATACATGTAGAAGAAATAACTTCCAAGAAAACATATTTAATGGAAAATATACATAAATCATTCTGCGAATACAGCAAAATATCTACTTATATAAATGCTAATAACCACAAGGCAATAGAGGATATGGTTTTCTCTTTTATCATAAATCATTTAAAATTATATTTACTACCAGCACATACAAAGAGTTCTCCAATAGTTTTGCAGATAAGGATAGTAAGTGGCAATCATAATCAGACTAAAGTGTCGCTATGGAACCATAATTTAGCAACTCAAATTCCAACTCTTTATGAAAGTACCAAAACCTTTGAAGTCTTAAACAAACAACAAAAAAAAGACAACAAGACAGAATGTCTGAATTTCTAAAACATGGGATGTAAAACTACATATGCTTTGTAAAATATTTTACTCTACACATAAAAGACATATATTCACAAAACGGTACCAAAGTCAAAACTGTTTTGCTATTAGGAGAGAAGTCACTGGAAAGGTGGCTTAAATTCCTTCCATTCCCAGCATGAGTCTGGTAGTCTTGTTTTTTAAAATCACTCTATTCACATTTACCTATTTTTTTTAAAACCTCATGACATCAATTAAAGTTACTATGTATAGGTACTCTTGAATTAGTGGTTTACCTGAGAAAATAAGTTTGAATAAATTCCAAACTTAAAAAAAGAAACAATCAGCAGTTGACCTGACTTAGGAAAATAAAGCTTTACTTGGGAACAAAGATTCCTTAGACTAAAAGTTTTCCACTAAACTAAAAGTATTAGTATTTCAAAGGTACAAAATACTATTCGGCCAAAATCCTTCAAAAACCAATGTACCACAACAGGTCTGGGTGATGACGCGTACTTCTTCCCATAGAGAACCTCTGGACATTAGCGTGCGCCCAGCATATAACATCAGAGGCAGAACTTAAGCCAAGCCTTCAAGCTTGAAGGTCACATGGAGCGTTTGCTCACATCATTGATCTATTTCACTAAATCACTATTCCATTAAATCACCTCTATATATTTGTAAAAATCTAACCAGTTTAGATTTAAATTAAATTTACAGTAAAATCTAACTCTCAGGTGGGAGCTGCCCCCAAACATTCTCCATCAACTACTTATCACAAAATTTTTAAACTATATGTCATTTTATCTTACAACCATACAACTTTTGGAAAGTCCATGTTTAGTACTTTCCTTTGCTAGTACTATATACAGATGAAATAAAACCCACTGATCACCACCTTCAGGTTCCTGCTGACCTAAAATAAATAAGGGATATTTTAATATCTCCTCCCATTTTGAGAATGATTTCCATAGACTGGGAAAGAATGTTCCCACCAATAAATGCCTTTCGATTGAGAATGGCTGTTATACCGCCATGCATTAGGCAACTGTGAGCAATAATCCATTTTTGCCCATCACAGAATTTATTTAAAATCTTACTGTTGACTTCAAAACGTTAAGTTCCTCATCGTAAGTTCCACATTAGCCAGGCCTTTAATCAGGGCAACAATTGTGTGGCATGGTTTTTACTCCTGGGAAAACATTTACCACAAACTAGGGCAAAATCTTTAATAATTGGTTTTTTTTTCTTTTATTGTGAATATATAGTTTTTCTTTCAATACAGAATAAAGAGTTCACTCATGATAACTCCTTTAACAATTAAATAGCAATGCCTGGCTGTGGATTAAGAGAGTTAAAAAAAAAAAACTTACCCCATTCTAGGTATTCAAGAATGTTCTTCTCTCTTCTCAATGGAGAATTATTGCATTCATCATAAAGGCAGATGAGTATATCCAGTAATGTCTCCACACTGAAGCACTGCCCATTGGTCTGAGCGGGCCCATCCAAAATAAGCTGCTCCAATTGTCTCAAACGCACTTCTCCAGACATGTTTGCTTCGATTTCTGCCGGCTCGCCTTTAAATTCTTATAACGATTTTAGCTATTATTATTTGAACCTAAATTTTAAAAGGTGTGGTTTTAAAAATAAACCACTTGTTATTCAAACAACTGTCATGCAACGCCGGTGCTGAATTAAACATCCAACACAGCAGTAACTCACTTAACTGAAGCGTCTTCAATTTCACCCATATACATATATCTGGGGGGTAAATTACCATAAAATATATACTTAATACATTTTTAAAGAATAATACAATTAAATCGTATATTTAAATAAAATAATTAAAAGTACAACAAAGAGTCAACACTTCTTTAAAAAAAAAAAAACAACTCTTCTCCTTCATTCAAAATTCAACTCGTGCAACATAATCCTGAAACGAATCCGGTTGCATCATTAATGAATAAAGTCCGATTTGCATCAGCAATTCACTTCTCGGGAAGAAGGAAAATAGAAAAGGGAGGGAAAAAAACAGAATGCATAGAAGGGGGAGGGAAAACCAAAAATTTTGCTGCAAATCCTCCCAACCACCACTTGGATAATGCATCAGCGGCAATTTCTCCAGGGGGGAAAGGAGGAGGCGAGGTCCCTGAAGCAGCCCCGGCTCGGAGCACGCCAAGTCTTGCCCGGAGGAGGCTTTTCCTTCCTCCTGCCGAAGTCCTTCTTTTTAAGGCTTTGCAGCGAGTCCCGTTTCCCACGGATTCCGCTGA